CTTGGCAGCTCGACTTCAAGGGCTAAAAAGGGAAAAGAGAAAAGGCTCACGAGTCAATCTGTTCGGGCTAGGCATTCGGTGCAATGTGTAGATCTTAGGCACAAATGAAGCTCAAAATGTCACCGTTTGAATCCAATATAAAAGCCAATTTTTTTTCTCTTAGATTATTCTTTCTCTCCCTCTCTATTCATTTTTTTTTCAAAATTCTCTCTTTAAATCTAGTTTTCAATGACAAAAATTTCAAGAAGCTGCTTGATTCTTTAAACTTTAATCATGAATATCGTTGAAAAATTCATATATAGCCAAAATATTCCCCAAATTTTAGAAATTTTCTAAAAAATTTTTTTTTTTCTTTTGTCTTTCCCTGCCAAAACAACCTTTCTTCCAAATACTCTTTTCAAACAAATTTAATATACCTTTCCTCCTCAAAAAAATCAATGATCTAGAAGCCACAAAATCATCACACTTAAACCAAAATCATTGTCCTCTTTCTTTCTCTTTAAAGATTGCCAAAAAAGTCTGAAAGACTAAATCTCTCTATTTTTGCATGACTTTACTGTCCTTTTTCCCTTCTCAAAAGCTTCAAAAAATCCAAAGAACAAAATATCCTCACACTTCTACACCAATCTGTTATTTTTTTCTCTTTGATTTTTTGTTTGATTTGTTGTTGTTTTCTGTTGATTGTTGTTGTTCTTGATTATTGATCGTAAGTCTTTTTTTAGGGTTAACTTAAGAGAGTTGTAGATCACTAATGATTCAATCTTCAAAAATTTTTTTATTATCATAAAATAAATTAAAATTTATCTTCTGCAAGTTAAATCAAATTCCAATTCTGATAACACTAAGCTTTATTATTAATCATTCTCAAAATTTATTTTTGGCAGAATTATCTTTCATCTTATCTTTTATTTTTATTTTTTATTTTTTTAAAATAAAAAGACTAATTAGATAAAGTAAAATAAAATAAATATTAAAAATAAATGAACTTAAAATTAAAGATAAATAAAAATAAAATAAAATAAATCAGATAAAAAATTAAAAGTAAAAAAAAAGAATAATCAAGATAAATGTACATATGAATAAAATAAAAATGAAATCCTAAAATAATTAAATCATAAATAAAAAAAAGTAAAAGATGGATAATTGAGCTTGGATTGGTTTGGGCTCGATCAATTTGAACTTGATTGATTTAGGCCCAATTGATTTAGGTCCAATTGGTTTGGATCATAATAAAATAAGGTATCTACAAAATCAATAAAATAATTGAATTTTTTTCTAAAATAAGTTACAAATGGGCTCGAGTGCAAACATTTAACATTATCTCTCAAGTTTTTGGGGTTATGCAAATGTTTTCAGGACAAAACCCTAGCATAACGCCCGAACCTAATGGCAAAAAAAAAAAAATAGCCTTGTCTTGAGAGGATTTGGATTTTGAAGCGCATGAATCATTTGTTGGTATTCCATCTCCTTAAATTGATTATCGAAATGAAGTATCTACTTTATGGTAGTCATAGTAAAACCCCTTAAAATGTACCAATACCATTCACATTATCTGATACGTCAAAAAAAAATTCCAAGGCATAAGACTCTTGTCCTGCCCTGTAGTTAGACACAAAGAACAACCTTTGCTGGTTTTCATTTAAAGTGCTTACTTGGATGAGTTGGGAAGCTTAACGCTTGGTTTTCTCTGCTTGTTGTTTAGGCATACAGTAGTAGTGTGATTTTATTTTGGCTTGGTTATTTTTAGGTTGGGATACTTTATTTGTTGAGTAGTTTCTTGTTGGTATATTTGGGCATCTGCTATTCAGTACTTGTTTAATTTTTGTTTTAATCTCTTAATGAAATTCTATTGCATGTCAAGAAAAAAAATTAAAATAAAATTTAAGGCATCGTACTCCGGTCTGTGAGCCATTAGGATGAGACATTAATTGTGTTAACATTTGTGAAAGTACGTACTTCTATGCATAACATGACACAAGTTTTCTTTCATAAATTGATCTGACTTTAATCAATCTCATTGGGAACACAAACCTCTCATATCCCAAAGCTTGAAAATGAGATAAGCTGCCTTTAGAGTAGTAGAGGCATCGTATGAATGACTCTTCCCTATTTAAATCCATCACTCCAACCTAATTTTCATCAATCTAACTTAAATCCATTTAACTATATTTCATAGAGTTTGACAAACGACCAACCATGAAGAACCAACTCTTGTCCATGCTCTTTCTACTCTCATTCCTCATTTTCCTTGCCAACATTGGTGAAGCAATTGTTCCTTGTCCCACTGTGGATGCCAAGGCAGCTGTATACATGGGATTTGCAACAGGCAAATATGCTAGCCCTTTGTTATATGCTATAGTGGGCTACAACAGCTTACTTAAAATGTAAAATCGGTGGATGATAAGAAGTCCATCTACCGATGCTTGAAGGCTGACGCTGAGTCACTAAGAATTCAAGACGGGTTCTTGAGCCAGATTCTTTAAGCTTGCAACATAAAAGTTGGTTTGCTTGTCTCCATCAACACTAATTGCGAGAAGTAAGTTTTTTCTACATTGCTAGTTAATTTATAAAAGCATATATTTTTGTCAATCATCGTAGCAAATAAGGCTTATTATTAACCATTTTTTAAAATTTTGATTATCGACTGTCATAACGTATAGATCCGTAAACCTACTATTAGACATGGATTAGAAGAGCGTCACAGATCTTTTTTGTTTAGGTGTGATTGGTTACCTGAAGTAAATTATAATTTACAAAACCAGATTTTAGGTTCAAGAGTACTATTAAGTGTGAGAAAGGTTATAACACCCTCAAAATGCCCATCAAAAGATGGTATCGGTTTGATTTTAAATTATTCAAGCCTTAAACATATTTTTGATTTTTTAAAATATTAAATATTAAAAATTAGTCTTAAAATTGTCCTAATAGTTTGATGGTAATTTAAGATAATTCTCTTACTTCAGGAGTATTCATAAGGACTAGTGTCCTACCCTGAATAGGCTCTGTCATCAAACTTATTAAAGTATTTTATTTTGAAAAATTAGTAAAGTCTCCCAATAGTTTGGTAAGACTTACTTTGAGGTAGATCTCACAATAGTTTAATGAGATTTCATTACAAAAAGATTTGTAAAAATTTTAAGGATTTTATTAAGTCTCCCAGTAGTTTGATAAGACTTAATTTAAAAATCAATCTTCCAATTGTTTAGAGGATAAAATTATTTTTATTTTTTTGAAATTTATTTATGAAACTTCCTAATAGTTTGGTGGATTTCATAAAATTTGAATCCATGAAAATTCTCCAATAGTTTGGTAAAATTCATGAATTTATTATAAAAATTTTTTTATACTTTTATTATTATTTTTTTATTTTCTAAAAAATATTTTTTATTGTAAAATATTTAATAAAATGAAAAATCACTCAATAAAAATAAATAACTAATAAAAATTAGTAAAATAAACAAATAAAACTAAAAATAAAATATAAAATCAAAATATAAAATAAATAAAAATTAAAATTAAAATAGAAAAAAGAAAACCTACGATTCGGGTCAGGTTAACACGTGGGTCAACGGGTTATGCACAAGTCAAAAGGCCTATAAAATGCTACCATTTTGGGTTGCTATATAAGTCACCTTCTGCAGAAGCTCCTGCTCTCTCTTTCTTTAGGTTTAGTTTTCTTTGACTTCTCTCTAAAAAATTCTAAAAACATTGTTGGAGATTCAACCAAAAATTGAAAAAATCTGTTGATTTCTAGAAATGTTACTAGAATATTCAATCAAAAATTAGAAAACTATCGGTTTTTGGAAAAGTCACCGGAATCCCACCGAAAAATTCAAACCCCGCCAAAAAATTCAACTAAAAAATTCATCTTTCATCGAAAAATTCATCTAAACCTAGATTTTTCTAAAAAAAACCCAGAATTTGTAGATTTTTTTAGATTTGCCTAGATTTCTTCAAAAGCTATCCAAAATCCTAATCCAAACCCCAAAAACATAAATCTAACCCAAAAACTTCAAATCAAATCCATAATTCTAAAATCAAAATCCCAAAAATTTTCTACTGTCCAAAAACTTTTCAAAACATCCAGTTCATCTTTTTTTTTTTAAATCAACCATGCTTGTTTCTTATGATTTTTAGTTTGATTTATAGGCACTTTTAGAATCGATTTTAAAAAATGGACAGAATCAATCTAGGCTTGAATCATGAGATTGAATTTTGCCCAAACATAATTTTAGGATTCTGATTTGGTTAAATTTGTCAGTTATTCGGATTTGATTCAACATTAAAAACATTTGATTATGAAATTGAATTCAGATTTTCGTTTCCTAAATTTGTGATTGCATATTGAAAGAAAGGAAAAAAAAATAAAAATAAAAACAAAAATAAAAAATATAATATATTAATATAATATACTATAATATAACAATACAATAGTAATAATAATATAATATAATAATATGATATAACATAATATAGTATAATATGATAACAATATGATAATATAATAACATAATAATAACAAAATAATAACAATAAAACAGATTTCGATTGGCCTTAGACACAGATGAATGTCTACACCGACCATGCAAGATTCACTGAGTTATGATAGAGCTGGGACAATGATACTAGAAGAAGTCGCGCAGCAAGCTAGATTTGAATATTGGATGTAATAAAACGGTTTGTTAAGACAACATTACTTACTGTTGGTCTTTACCGATAATAGTACAAGTTGGTTACTTGGTTTTAGTAGAATCAGATCAGCTCACTTCTTGCGTTTTGGCATAGCAATTCATCTTAGTTTCTTGCACTTTGCAAAGCTACTCTTCATCACGAGTAAAGACATTTACCCTTTATTTTCAGATAATCCAACCACTCAAATTACAAATTCATTGTACATGACAAAGACTTGAAAATGTCCCCCCCCCAAAAAAAAAAGATAAAAGATAAGCTACAAAAGAAATGAATGAATGAAAGTTCAACAAATTAAACCAATATGACAATTTATTAATTTAATAAAAATTTAAATCAATACCATCTCTTCATGTTGTGTATATATCAAAATGAAACTTGTAAATCACCAAGGAATTTCCTGACCATCCCACGCAAAGAACTTGCCATTGTCTTGTTGTTTTGTACTGTTAATGATGGTCAAGAGCTTTTGCACCGAGAACTCCTTGGTGAAAAGCTTATCGGCGGGAACATTTCTTTGGAATGGCCTAGACAGATCTGTATCCACTGTGCCTGGGTGCAACAGAATGCATGCAACTGGGTCTTTCTTCCTTGCAAACTCAACTGAAATAGTTTTCGTCACTGCATGCATCAAGTCAAGCTATTTCAGTGATGAAAGCGGATAAAAGATTATCATTATAGATACTGGATATGCAACCAAAAGATTTCACAACACTATCACTTCATATTAAAAAACAAAGACAGAGGGGTGGCGACGAGAGAAGAAAAGGGTATACTAGCTTATGATATTCATGGTGAAAGCAACAGGTACAATGAGCATTTTCCCAATAGTTTGTCTATGTGCATTTTTGAAGAGAATGGAATGTTATCCTACAGAGACTTGGGAGGGAAGAAAATCATACATTGATTAAGTGCAGCCTTTGAAGCACGATACGAGTGCCAGCCCCCTAGACGATTGTCTCCAATAGAGCCAACTCTAGCACTTAAGTTGGCCACAACTGCAACATCCCTTTCAGTGCCAAAACCTCCTCCAGCTTTCAGAAGAGGCCACATATGCTGTCAGCAATATCACAAACAGAAATGTCTATTATATTGTCAATAAACTCCCATTAAGAACAAAGGGCAATGAAGAACTCCAAGTCAAGCATAACATCGGAAAGAAAGATTCCAATAATGTATCCATTGCAACACAACACACCTTGCATTTGAGAACACTTGTGCAAGGAGCCAATTGTGTAAAAAGAAAACATCGAAGCCATACTCAACAGAAAAGATAATGCACATGACTCTCTTCATGTTTCTAGATAAATGTCTATCCAGTATCCACCATGAAATCATGAAATGCATTTATCCCCATTTTGCTCAAAATAGGAGTAATTTCATCCTTGCTCACCAAAAAAATTAAATTTCATTCAAAGAATTGAACTTCAATCTATAGAATTTCGTACATGCTTAAATTTGCAATATGGATCAATGTGATCATTCAGCTAGCATCTGTAAATGAATTTGACAGAAAAGAAAAACTGGTGCCACAAACCGCTTTCTGAACCAAAGCATTCCGATGTATACAATAAGCAACCTATCAACTTTTATGCATGTAGCCAGTTCTTGTCTCCGTCCTGTGCTCCTTTAATCTATCTAAACCCGCATAGTCTCTATATTCATGGATTCTCCAAACTTCAGCTTCCCCCTTCTATCTCCAAACTCATGGTTATTCTCTTTGTAAAGGGGAAAAAATGAAAAGAATCTTATCAAATTAAAAACTTAAAGTCTTAAATTGTTGCAACTGCAACACCTTCTTCATTCATTGATCCAAAAATTAAAAAGAGAAAAAAAATAAACCAATCAATTTTAAATGAGATAAGATGCAAATTTGTTAGTATACTTATGAGGATCGTTCAAATTTATCATCAATCTTTCAATTAGTGCTATTTTACCACCATACTTTTAATTTTGGAGTAAATTTACCATCATGCTTTAAATATTGGAGTAATTAAAGAATATTTAGTTGAAAACTTCGTTAGAAAATGTTTTATAGTTTAAAAGAAAATTTTCAAAATGATATGGCAAGGAAAAAAAACCATGAAGCTAAAGTCCATATTTTTCTTTTTCTTTTATTTATTTTCTTATTTTATAGTGGTATTTTCTATTAAATATAATGTCACATAATCCAAAATTTTCTTTTTCTTATTTTATCATGAAATTTTGTACTACATATAACAGCACATCATACTTTTTAAGTTGGTCTTAACCTTTTTTTCCCTGTCATGTTTTTATGTTTTCTTTTTTTTTTTTTTTGAATTATAAAACAGTTTCTAACAAAATTTTCTATTGAATATTCTTTAATTGCTCTAAAATTTGAAGAACAATACGAAATTTGATCCAAAATTAAAAGTATAGACGTACCTTATCCCATTTTAAATCATTTAATCCACATAACAAAGAACTAAATTAGTAAAAATCTAGCACAAGTTGGATTAGAGGGAGAGAGACCTGGGAAATTGAGAACACCAACAATAGCAACGCCAAGAAAAAGGTTCAGTAATGGGTTCAGTTTTTTTTTTTTTTTTTTCTAATTATTTCTTTCATAGAAAGGGGGAGCAACAACCAACCATCAAAAACAAGCGCAAGAAGGAAAGTAAATAGCAAAAAAATTAACTTCACAAATCTCTCATAAAACAAGACAGTGGAGTAGAGAACAGAGAATAGAAAATATAAGAAAAACAACCACAAAGTAAACATGCTAAATCCTTGAGGATGGACTGGATACACCATAACTAACTTAAACTTCACCAAGGAAGACAATGGTGATGACAATCAATGCTTAATGCACATATATCTGTCATACAGGCATCACCAAATTTCATAAGCATTGACCCTTCTATTGGATCAACCCAAGCTGGAAGAGAAAATGAAAATTTGTGTACAGGACTTTGATATCTGAGAATTTTGAGAAGAAAACAGAAAAAGGAGAAGAGACTCTCTTTTTAGTTTTTGCTTGATGTTATAGCCAGGACCATTGACCTACAATAAGCTACCTCTAGGACAGATTTTTTTGTCTTTTGATTGTTTTTTAATGAATGCTGAGAAAACGGTAACATTTTACACATGTTGCAAAGTTTGAATATCAGTTATTACAAACTGAAGCTAGTGTTAGAAATGAAATTAGTGATTAGTTTAGTGACCACAGGTAAACTTTACCCCTCAAAATATGTTTAAAAAATGGCAACCAAGGCAACTCTGCCTAATGAAAATATACAGCATTTTTAACATTATCAACAAGGAATGCTAATTAAAATGTACTTTGCTAACAAAATGTACTTTGACTGTAAATTCCTTAACCAAACAAAGTGAATTGAGGTTCTTCCAGAAGATTCAGGGTCATTTGTAAGTTGAAAGTTTAAAGAAACGTCTTCCATGAAAATAAAATAAATAAATAGTCGGCATACCTTGATCACTAAAATAGGACCAACGGCATTAACCTCATAAGAAAGCATCATGGATGATTTGTTTACTTTGCTCAGTGTTGTTTCTGCACTGGAATCAAAGGAGTTTATTCACTCACCTAGATAGCAAATTGAATGAGAGGAAAAAGAAGAGGGAATAAAGTGTAGGGGCAAAATTTCAGTTCCTCTTTTAGTAAGGTATAGGACACTGATGATGTTAAAGCCTCAAAAGCTTTCTTAAAGCAATAGCAGCAAGTTCATACCTGGTTGCAATACACTGGGTATTGAAAGAATGCCCGATGCATTAATTAGAAGGTTAAGAGAGCCATGACTTTCTGTTATGGACTTTGCTGACTCCTGAAATATGATGTGTCAATGGTCAGTCTTATTTTGATATATTTAATATGAAAGACAAAGGAATAGAGTGGAAGAAACAGAATCAGATAATTAACCTCTATGGTACTTTCAACAGTCACATCCAATGGTAAAATATTAAGGCGTTCAGCAAACTCATTTTTTAATTCAAGAAGCCCTGTTGCCCCTGTAGGATTACGGCAGGTGGCAATAACATGCCCTTTTTCATTCTTTTCCAGCAGTTGTTTAACCTGCGTTCAGAAGTGCAGATGTCAAAATCATAGTGCGGGAACCAATCGCAATGCTATCATTGAATTAAAATATATGCAAATTAAGCGGGCATCAAAGAAAGAACAAAAACTTTTCCCTCCTCTTAGTAGCCAATTATTCTACCGTGGCTGGAGTCAGATTAACAAGTAAAACTTGTAATCCCATAACGGCATATTATTATTCAACTGTGGCCATAAATATAAGTACTAAACTGCTCATTAAATAGCCATTCAAGAAAAAAGGCATCCATTCACAATATTGAACTAGACTGTGACGTAACAAAATTAGATACTAGAAACACTGTCAAACTAACACCAATAGGCAGATGGATGTGCTCTGTAAGGCAATGTAGAACTAATACAAATAGCAGTTTATCAATAATATAAAACACTAATGCACAACTCGAAACCATGCTAGAGTAGAATTTTCCATGCAAATCGACAAGTGCCCATAATAGCTCAATGAAAAAGCTGTAGCAGTGTTAGAGGTTGCAAGCAGTACTTGGAAAATAGAGACTGAGATTCGAAATCAGGTCCACTAGGACATGCCGGAAGTAGACAGAACCACATCAGGTTGTGTTTGACAGTGATATACATAGCCCTCGGTTGGCTAAAACATGTTAGGGCCGGTGAGTTTCAATTCAAATAGAAACTATCAAAACAAATCCAACCATTTTGTAACAAAGTGTTGGGATCAGTCTATTTGAATACAAAAATCTTGAGCATGCAATTATATACTTACCAAAAACAAGTGAAGTTTTATTGAGCATGAGTTGAGATAAGAGGGCTCACAAATTCAAGGCCAATTCCTCGAGAAGCTCCCTGAACCATTGAAACCCCGCCTTCCCATTTCAAAGCAGCAGCAGAGGATGCAAATGATCTGAGTGTGAGTCTGACCGGAATCGCCATCAATGCTCGGTGGGCGTGAACCATCATTTTTGCACCCGACTTACCTCACAGTCCCAAAAATAGCCACACAGTTTTAATTGGGCCTTGTGGACTGGGACTACAAGCCCACAGGCCCATCCCTTGTCTTAAAAATGACATTCAAGGCCAAGGCCCAACATGCTTCAACTGCCAAAAAGATTTGATTTGAGAAATGAGAACCCACAATTATCCTTGGCAAATGCATGACAGCTTGGTTTTGTTACTTAACCCTGATCTGCTCACTGCTATGATATGATGCCATAGAAATAATAATTTAATTTTATTGTTGACTTGCTTTATTCAGCTACCAAAGCAAGATCCATTTACAAGAATTTTTTTTTTCGCAGCCAATCCCATTTTATTAATAAACCAAAAAAAAAAAAAAAAAGATACAACATAGTTCAATTACAAAAAATATAAGACATCTTAAGGACATACACATCATACAGACTATCTCAAATCTTAAAAACGGGACATATCATACGAACAGACCAAATAATTCTAACACCACCAAGAATCAATAAAACCATTTTGCAAGAATGAATCAATCTTTCTTGACAAGGAAACAAAATACAGTCGTAGGCTTCAGCTCATTTTCAAAGCCCAAGCTAGAATAGTTTTGGGGAACATTGCTGCTGATCGTGTTTGTCGATAGGGACTTGTGTGATGTTTGGACACTAAATTAATTACTTCACGTCGATAGGCATTTGTTTTGCTTGATGTATGCTTTGGATTGTATTGCTTACGTGTCGCGCCTTTGGGTAACGAAATCACTTCACTTATCCAAAAATACTTATATATATTTTACTTATATGTACTAGCAATGAGGGGGAAAAGGCTATGGCAGGGTCTAGTCGGACTTAGACTTAACTCCGTAAATGTTAAGGAGAGTCTAGGGCTGGCTTTGAAAATGTTAGGCTTGAGACACCTACGGAAACTATTATCAAACAGTGGGATTTCAAGCTATATCCAAATATTAATAGTCTTTCAACAAGTATAATTTTGTTTGTCTCCACTTTCCTATTTACTTTTCACTTTTCAAAAATAAATTGCAAAAAAACAATGTAGGGTTTGCAAATTAGTTTAAAACTTTCAAAGCTAGATTAATAGAGCAGATGATCACCAGACCAGACCCTCCCTCCCAGTAAAAACAATCTTCACGCAATTGATCTTATGGGGCAGATTAACAGGATAGAATTAGAAAAGGATACTGGGCAATGGATGACTATGATTTTTCAACTTGAAAAGCACTTAAAGGGGAAAATTAAAGGCAAGCAGAAAATAATTTTCTAAATAGTACGTAAAGTCATTTATGTCACATGGGAAAGCGCCACGTGCCACACAATACAAGAGCTTAATCATCCAAAACCACCTTAATCACAAATTAAAAGAAAAAAACAAGAAAAGATCATTTTGCAATTCCCAATAGACTTTTACTTTATGGTTAAGTCTTTCATGTTCTACTGGTACGTGATCATTAAATTTGTGATATCCTAAGTGAGGATTATATTACCTTGGGAAGAAGCTCATCCATGCATCTCTTTCTTAAAAAATACATAATGCATGGAAATTAATTAAACTATTTACATTTCATACCTATATGGTTCATAGCTAGCCTAGCTAGGAAAATTAATTTCCATAGCTAAGCCTACTGAATGGACGGTAAGCAAGCACTGTGGTTGGTGGGGAGAAGCTGGAACCCCACCCATATGCACGAAGCCTAGAGTCACTCGCAACACATGTTCAAGCCAACAATATATATATATATATATATATATATATTACCATTTGATCATGTTTATTTGACCTTGTTTCACTGGTCCTATCAACTGTCGTCAATTATAAAGATTGGATGAAGCTACAGTCAAAGGGGCAGGAAAGATGAACCATAGCTAGCTATAGCTTATTGAAATCAAGTTATGGAAACGCACTTAATTTGACCCTCTTACTTTACACTTTTTAATATACATAATCGCAAGGGTACATGAGCAATTATATATGTACAAAATTAATCAAACACAGATGGCAAATAAACAGGTGTAGAAGGCTGTGATGGGTGCAACGGCTGAGGTTGCCGGTAGACGGTGACATCAAGAGGCGTCAGAGGCTTAGGCAAGTGTGTCTCGCCTGTACCAGCTCAACACCAACATCTCATTCTGATTATTATTTTACTGTAGAAAGCAATCGTCAGCGTGGAACCAGGGCTGGCGATTTTTAATTTTTAATGACTATATATTTAATATTATTATATCTTGATTTATTTAATTAAATTAAATAAAAAAAGTGAATAAATTATGGGGTAGCTTCACATGGCAGGATGAGGATGGTGGCAATTGTAGTGGGTGAAGACAAAAACCCTGTATAGAAATGTTCAGGCCTGAGAGAATCCCAGTTCAATTTGTTCTATTATGGGGCGGGGGTTGTCATGCAGGAACGTGGGCCAAGTGTTGTCTGAATTCCACATCAATGATGAAAAATAATAAACTAAACTACAAGTTAGCTAGGGTTTTGATCCGGGATGGGCCACCAAGAAAATCCCAGCGATATATCTGAGTGATCTATTTTTTAAAAACTAAACAAAACAGAAAAACTTTGTATTGAGAGCAACTTGATTAGTTTTTTTAGGGTCTATACAATATACTCTGTATAAACCTGACAGTTCAATAAAGATAAAAATCTGTGCATGCAAAATTTCCTTGATTAATTAAAATTCCCAGCTTCATGTGGAAAATTTATTATAGACTGGACTTTCAGCTTTATATAATTAGTAATTTCAAATTAATTAATTACTCCATGTTCTTGTCTCATTGGTAACCAAGTCAAACAATTAATGCCTAATGGCTATGGAGATTATAATTAACTAATACTACTAAGCAATGGTTAATTATCTTTGATTTGATTTGATGTTCAAAACAGCTGTAAGGGAGCCCCTAAGTATCTCTTAAAAACAAAAAAATAATGAGATCGAGAAGATAGTTGGTAAACACTTGTGTTTTGAAAGAGTCCAAAGCCAAAGGGTAGAGAGAGAGAATGGCTGTTTTACTACAGTAGATTCTCCAAATGTCTCATCGAACATAAGGAGGACGGTGATTCCCTCTATGATCATTGGCCCATTGAAAACTTCACTTCAATCCATCAAATATTTTCTATTTATAAAGCATAGATGATTGAATTATTGTATGTGAAAGAGAGCAAATTACAAAAAAGAGGGAAAGAAATTAAGGGTTTACGTTTCAACCGTAGCTACAGGCGAAACCCCAAATCTCAAAGACATCAAAATGTCTAATCAAACATGACTGACTCTTAACAAAGGTTCCATATTTAAGCACCATCTTTGAAGATGTCATGCTTCTGACCCGACTTTTAAATTATAAAAGAAACCCTACTTTTAGATCAAAATCAAAAGCCAAAAAAGCATGCTAATATATTTGACCTTTATCTAATTCATTCTAACCTTTCAACTTTAGCTAGAAAACAACAAAACACTAAACCTTGATTAATACTATAATTAGAACTAATCTTTGCCCCTTTATCATCCCGCCATAAGCTTATTTGCCTTAATCTCATTATAGTTAAGCACCTTTTTAAACCTTGATTAATTATTATTGTCATCTCAAAAGTAGCCTTCCTTTGGATCTTCATATGTTACTAATTCAACAACTTTTCCTTATTTCTAGAAAAACAAAAGATGAGCTCAAAACTTTTGAAACTAAGAAATATTAGTTTATATTAAAAAGATCTCTCTTTTGTACATCGTGGAAAGTGAGTGCAATAACAGTTTAGTGGGAAAGAAAGTGGATTACGGACACCCAATGATAAAAACATAGCTTATCAGAACCACAACATAAGCAGGCCGATGCTTTCCTCAAAGTCAACCCATTTTGACTTCGAATGGATTGATTCATTCCAACCCTTTTTTTATGTACATACACAAAAACGAGGGATAAGTATCAAATTTGTCAATATACTAATATTCAACTTATATTTGATAATTTGATCCATCACACAGAGGTGGTTTCGTTTATGGAATGTCTTTTAGCTCCAACAATAATTGCACTTGTTGATGCCATTTGGATCATTTTTAATGACGTTAAAGCTTGTGAAACCAAGAGACCAACTCTGATATCCCTTATTGGTCCTAAGTAGTTAGTGCTAGAGAGAGGTTAATAGTATTTAATACAAATAAAATAAAAATTATAAAATTTAAGTGAGAAAATATAGAGCAAGGTATAGATTTCACTAAGTGATTGAGTTTAGACTTTACAAACACTTTGTTAGACATTAACAACAAAAGGGTTTTGATATTATAAAAATCAATATAGGTTCAACAATTATATCGTCCACAGTCACTGACTTTTTAGATTTTACAAACAAGTTTAGTAGGGTAATACACACCCTTAAACTATATTAAAAAAAGACATGTGGAGATAAAAATTTTATGCAAAAAACAAAAGTAAAATATATTTAAATCATGTATACCCTTTAAAATATATTAAAAAAATATAAAAAATGAAACATATAAAGCTGAAAAAATTCCACGCAAAAAACCAAAGTGAAAGGATTAGCCGCAATGGCCAAGAAGTATAAGGGAAAATTTTTGAGAAAATGTGAAACTGGTTTAGTTGTTGCCGGCTTAACAAATATAGTTTAGTGACAGGCTCATAATCACCCATGATTTGATGAACCAGTGACGTACGGAAGGCCAGGAAATCAATTTCCCAAACTTTAGGCCTAATAAAACAGGCAGCAGCCATGTAAAATCAGTAAACAACTAATTATAAATAATATTCACACTTTTTGTTTCCATAGCTAATCCTTATTTTCTTGGATTCGGCTCCCAAAATCAGTGATTACAAAATTAATGGAGTTACTACAAATTCTCTCATATTTCCTTCCTAACCTATTTTCCCTTTAATATATGGAAACATGTAATTTTAAATTTAAAACCCTAAAATTGAGGGTATAATCGATCGATAACTTATTACTAACATATTTCTAGGTCTTTGTTCCCTTCTCTTCTCTGTGCTCATGAGGCTATATATATATATATATATATATATATATATATATACACATACAAATCATTGGTCTTATTAGTATTGATTGATGATCATGGTTGTCCTTAAAAACACAAACAATACAATTCTTTCATTCTTCTGGATTCAAGTCTTTTCAAGAATCCAAGACATCGATATGCAAAGGTACTACTGTTTTATCAGTATCAATTTCTATGGTATTTTTTTCCCAGCATTCCACAATTGTTATTATTATTATTACTAGAGTTTCAAACAGCTGAAGCTAAGTTAATATTTTTGCTCTTCAATTTTGATTTCTAGTACATATTTTCTTCTATTAAACCAACTTCTTTGTATATAGTCTAACTATGCTAGCATAGCATGAAAGCCATTTAATAGTTGTTCAATCAAGTAAAACATAAATATTAACAGTAAAATCATGATTTAGTTTAGGTTGACATTGCAGTGGAATCAATTTAATTTTTGTTTATGTGATATGTGTACATATATTAATATAAAACAAATGCCAAAGTAGGCTTTGATTTGTTTAGGAGTTATGTGTTTTGTGTTAGAACAGCAAATATTAGGCAAATTAAGGATAGGCGCATATTAATACTATTTTTAAATATATATGGGAATGTGAGTAGTGGGGGGAATTTAGATGAAGTTGTTTACGAGAATTTGTGAATTTTTTTAATATAAATGATTCAATTAAAATTTTAATAAAAAATTTAAATATATAAATTAATAGAATTTAATGAAAAGATCAATAATATGTAAAAAATTTATATTAAAAAATTTATTTATAATTTAAATTTGATCAATTTTTTTTTCGGTAAAAATTGTCAAAATTTTTTTTAAAATAATAACAATTTAAAAAATATATTAAAATATATTAATTCTTTTTGTAAATTTTACATATTTAATCATCTATGCAACGAATTTTTTTATTTATCTATTTTAATTTTAATTTTTATTTAATCATTTTTAATTAAAAATTTTATAAATTTTACTTAAAAAAATTCATCAAAATTGTGAGTGAGTGGGGAGGCTGATCGCATTTTCCATGCGGGTTGGTTGAATAATAAACCACCAAAGAATTTAATAAAGTGCTGAATCACATTGGGAGGTTGTCATCAAACGAAACGCACAGCTATCGTCTACAAGAAACGAATTGCTTACTCGAAACGTTTCTCCGAGAAATGCGGCTACTTGCCGACTCTTTAGTCTTTACTCTTCCTGTCAAGGAACAAGAAAAAAAAGACTTCTTCCCTCAAAACTTCATCTTTTATCATATTTACTCTGCAGTGTTCATTATTTTCTACTTAGTTTATTCCTATTAATTACTAGGTTTTTCAATTTCCTTGTGCTGTCATCTTTAACTTCTGGTTGCGTACAGAGAAGATCAGTTTTGTATGAAAAGTCAGCGACCCTCTCTCTCTCTTCAGAAAAGCAAAAAAAAAAAAAAACCAATCTATCTTTCTTGCTTTCTTTTGATTGTTATTGATGAGAAGAACATCATTGATCGGTTCTGTTTTCAAATTAACCTGATCTTCAACTTCAAAAAAACCTGTTTCCTTGCTGTCTTGCTTCCTTATAACAAAAACCCATCTCCACTCTTACCTTACAAAATCAAAACATTTGAGAAAATTTGCTTGTGTTTTAGGTCCATAGATATAGATATATATATATTAAAATCATAGAATCATTTTTTTTGGTATGTTTGCATGAAGTTTTTGCATTAATATAGCATGTGCAGCGTCTTCGGGCTACAAATGGAGAATTACCAAGGTGATTTGAACGATATAGTTCGGGCAAGTGGTGGTCCGATGGGGTGTATCTCTGGTCAAGCGTTGGATACTGTTGAAGCTTCAAGCTGGCAGCGATTCCCCTCCGATCCATTGAATTTCTTATCGTCAGTCATGGAAGATCATAGAGTGAACCCTTTTGGGGACCCTTTCTCCACTATGAGAGATCCTCTTCTTCATGAGCTTAACGTGGCAGCTGGTTCAACCTACTTTAGCAGCCCTAATTCAACTGATCTTATGATTAATAATACAGGCAGCACTAGCGTTGAAGATACTTCAAGCTTTTCTGGTGCAAGTAATATCGTTGGTGTTGGTGTTGGTCATAGTAAAATTTTCGAAGATGACATGAGAAGTCCTTGCAACATTTTTTCTCGGATTCAGATCTCCCCAGGCTCTAGTAAGCTACCTGGGTCGCCCTGTGATTCGCCCGCAATCGCTGTGCTTCCAAGCGACATGATTAATACCAACACCTCAAAAAGTTGCTTGATTGATAACACCGGCCCAGTACAGATCTCATCTCCACGGAATCTGGGTATCAAGAGAAGGTTAGGGTAATCATTTTTAATTCTCGTTACTGAACTAAAAAACTAGTAGTACTATATTTTATTGCTCCTCTTTGTCTCATTAATTGACAGCCATATGATGCATAGATTAATAAAATTAGGGAATTAATGAAAATTTGGGAACTTGGGTTTCCTTCATAAAATCATATATATAGAGGATGTGAGAAATTAGGATTTATTGCTATTAATTAATTAATATTATATGCATATACATACATATATGTCTGAATTGTATGTATTGGAAAAGTAAAGATGGTGTGTGACTTTCAGCAGGTGAGTTTTGCACACTGTGAAGTTTACAAATAATGCTAAAACGTAAAAGTCCTGACAGGCTTTTAATCAAACCTGCAAAGCTATATATATAGCTTAATTTGGTGTCGCAGTTACATTCTCAAACTTAGCTTTCATGTGGTTACCTGAACTTACTTTTCTTCCCTAACCTACCTGAAATGATACCGATGGTGTTTATTGCTATTTGTCTTCAGAATATTGTACAATCGCTTTCACTTTCTTTAGGGAATTAAACTATCCAAAACGTGTCTTATTTCCCTGCCCAAAAGTATAACTCAAACAAACTACATTTCTTGCCCTCCCAAGAGAGTAATTAAATAGCTAGGATTGCTAGCTTTTTTTTTCCTTTTTTCTTAAATTCAAGTTTTTAATAATGGAACTATCTTCTTTCTTAAGAATTTACTTAGTTGTCGATATGATTATGCAGAAAGAGCCAAGCGAAGAAGGTGGTTTGTATTCCAGCACCAGCAGCTGCAAACAGTAGGTCTAGTGGAGAAGTAGTTCCCTCGGATCTGTGGGCATGGAGAAAGTATGGGCAGAAACCCATCAAAGGTTCTCCTTACCCAAGGTATACATATTCTATGCTATAATATTGTACTACTCAAACATTACTTGCTGGTGGCTAGTTTGTTACGTTATTTTATCATTCTTGATTAGAGCAGAAAACTACCAAGTTTGAGAAACTAAAGCTGCAGTCCCTCTTGTGATGTCTTCCGAGCTGACAAGCACTATAGTGTTTCTCAATGAACACCAATAAAAAGTTAATATATTATAGTAGTTGATACACTCAAGCCAAGAAAGTTCTCTTTCTCAAAAACTGATCTCCAAATAAAGCACAGTTCATCATCATCACCAACGCATGCTTGTCGCAAAGCAAAAAATAAATAACCAATGTTTTTCTTCTTTGCTTTACAAGCTTAATTGTTAATACTGCAATATTTAATTTATGCTTCTATATGTTTATATGTGAAGATGTTATTCAATTATGCATTTCAATGTACTTTGACGTGTTATAATGTGGTTGCAATAACTGCAATAAGTATTCTTCTAATGTGTATTTCAGGGGCTACTACAGGTGCAGCAGTTCCAAAGGCTGCTCTGCGAGAAAGCAAGTCGAGAGAAGCCGAACTGATCCCAATATGCTGGTTATCACCTATACATCTGAGCACAACCATCCGTGGCCAACCCAAAGAAATGCTCTTGCCGGTTCAACAAGGTCTCAGCCATCCAAAAACAATGCTTCTGCTTCCAATATCAGCTCACCAAGTTCTCATCCCCAAAACACAGTAAACCCAAAGGAAGAGCTTAAAGAGAGCAGCAATGATGCTTTATCTCCCAAGGTTGCTGCTAGCTCAACTGCAAGTGCATCAGTTAAAGAAGAGATTGAGGACATGGAGAAGCAGGTGGATATAGATCATGACGCTGAATTTGGCGAAGGGATCCCTCAAACTTACAGACCTGCATTGCCAGATCAGTCCCATCAATCTGAGGATTTCTTTGCTGATTTGGATGAGATAGAGGCTGACCCTCTCCATCTATTGTTTCCACAAGGATTCAATGTTGATCAAGGTGAACAGATCAAAGAAAACAAAGCCGTGGATCCATTTAGTCTGTTTGATTGGTCCGGGGACAACAGCGCTTATTTTTGAGAAGCAAAAAGGGGGGGTTTATAGCAAGACCTTGAAACAATACCAACTTTAATTTCACACTGAAACACCTAGCTACATAGACCACTGCATAACTTTTAGTTTCAAAGGTAGCTTATTTATTCAGGTTCGAGGTCCTACTATAAACCTACTTTCTGGAGTATTATTATTATTATTGTTATTTAGCAGAATCAGAAGAGTGAGGCAGATTGAGATCAGGAAAAGAGTGAAAGACAGTGCCGCTGGATTGGGAGCAAAAGCCCGTGAGTCCCACATTCCTTTTGGAATATTGGTGGATGGGACAGAAAGCTGAGGAACAGAAGGTTTCAACAGTTAAAACAAGTACGTCCATCAGACATGACTGGATAACTCAGTGAGCAGAGTTTGATTTTGGATGGGACTTTGCTTTTCTTTTTCAAGTGGGAAAAATTATTTAACCTCACCTTTCTCCATGTGATGTGGGTGGGCGTTCTTAAAAGCCAATGTCAATGAATCTTTGGTGTGCAGAAATAAGTGCCAGTAAAAAATATATATATAAATATATCATTAGAAAAGCTTGACTTTTCTTGTCACTCTTCTTCATCCCTAGGGATTTGCAAAGGAGAGAGAAGTTTTAGTACTTACAACTTTCGGTTCCTCAGCTTTCTTCTTTCTTTTTTTTTTTTTTTTAATTTTTAATTATCCACTCTACTTCAACTCCAACTACAACTTCAACTTGTTCAGTATTACTTTTATTTAATTATTGTATTAACATTTTTCTCAGATTTTTTGGATCCATTATTTACTTTTTAGTATAACTATATCAGATAGCTGAATTCTCTCAACATTTACCAATTTTAGAAGATTTCTTTTCATATATATATATATATATATATATGCTTTTTGTCCTGTCTAAGCCTAACTAACACCATCTATGGTAGTATAATTTTTTTTCTTTCTTACTTTGAAATTTCTTTCATGCTTTTTCTTGAGCAAGAAAATTGAATTCCATCAAATATTAATTAAATACTACTTCAGACTTCAGTTCAAGTTGATCTGACATAAAGCAGATAAATGAATCATGTCCCCCTCTGCATTCAATGAAAAATATGGGCTCTTTTTTTAGAATTAGAGTTGAGGATAAGAATATATTTAGGCTATATTTTATTGGTATTTTTATTTTTTAAATAAGAATATAAAATATATAACAAAAATATAAAAAAATGAAACATCAATCAAACTAAACTTTAATTAAAATGCTTTTGGAGTTAAAAAGAGAAACATTGTTTGTACATTCTTAAATTAAATAGAAAAGTAGTGACAGTAGCCTCAGTTCTCAATTGAATTGTTACTCACTTCTTCATTTTCCTTGATAGCAATAGAAAGGTGCAATTGGTTACCCTATCGAGAATACTTTTTTATTTTTGAAGAAAATTTTTGCTAATTTAATTATATTAATTATATTATTTTTACTATTTATTCTTTATTTTTATTAATGTAAAATACTTAACAAAAATAAAGAAAACAGCTATTAAGTATTTACTTTTAAATGTAAAGTTTCATTTGTTTTACGAAAATAGCTGTCAAAAATGCTTTTAAAAAAATATTGGTATTTTTCTAAAGGGTAAAGGTTTTTGTTATTTGGATGACTTAATAAAATTTGGTTTTTATTATTTGATTTTTTTTTATAAAATCTACTCATTTCTAAATAGTAATATTGGCATAACTATTAAAATTTAAAAAATATATATTATTAAAATATTAAAAATATTTATTATTAAAATTATAAATTTATTAATATTTAAAAGTTAATATTTTAAAAGTATTACAAACATAATAATATTTAGCATAATATTAATATTAAATACTTCAAAAATATTATTTATATTAATATTTTAAAATATTTAAAATAATAGTATTATTAAAATATTGTTTAAATTAAAAAATTAATATTTTAATTAGTCTTACCATGAACAGCTCTTGTTTAAAATATTAATTATTATAAAGGTCTGATTCCAGTCAAACTAAACTCGCAAGCTGTATAACTAATCTTACCATGAACATCACTTTTTTGAAAAGTTTTTTTTTTTTTTTATTTTGAGAAGATGAAGACAATTTTCATAAATGATTCTTTATTTTTTATTTATTAGTAAGTTATTTTTTTGTTATGCAATCAGTTTCTATCAAATAAACATAAAAAGAAGTCATTTTTTTGTAAAACAAACAGAGTCTAGAGTCTAATACAAAAAAAAAAAACTAAAAAAATTCAGTAATTAAAAATTTCAAGCAAAGAATTTAATATTTAATTTTTCAGTGTTGATTGTTTTTTCAATTAATCAAACAATATCAAACTTAATATTCCATTGAAAATTATATAATTGTTGACCAAACTAAGGTAGAATTCTTTAAGAGTAAATTTTGTCAATTTGTCAAATAAAAATATGTTAAAAAATTTGATAAACCAAATAATACTGCTAGTTGTCTTGGCCAAAAAAAAACTAAAAGTGCTAGTTGTCATGGCCATACATGCAGATAATTAATAGTTTAATCCTTCAAAAAATATTTTTTAAATATATTTTAGTATTATTTGAATAGATTATAGATATTTAAAAAAATAATTATAACGGAACTTAAGATTTAACCTAAATGACCCTCATCACATTCCTTAATCAAGAGGTGAATTTTAAGAAAGCTTAGTCAATCGCATTTACAAATTTCTCTTTTTCATTTCTCTTTCGGTCTTAGCCTCATTTGTTAAAAAAAAGTAATTATAACAAAATTTCATTATTAAACTATTATTAAAATGTATGTATTTATACAATTTTTATTTAATTTCTTTTATACATATTTAATCTACTAGTGAGTTGATAATTTTACTCTAATTATTTAAAACTTAAAATTTTTTGTTCTAATTTGATTTTTTTTAATTAAAAATCTCACAAAATTTTCTTATAAAAATTACGTCATCTACAATTATTTAAGGGAGTATATATTTTTAAGAGCAATTATATTTATTTGATAGATTTTCATATGGTACTACCATATATCTCCACACAAAAAAAAAAAAAAATCCTCTTTCCACTACAAAAGAATAATAGAGATCTCCACTGTTTCATCTTAAAGTGATTAATGTACATTGATTTTAATCTTTAATTTGATTAAGATTTTTATTAGTCTTAAATTGAATAGAAAATAGATAAAAAAATCAATTAAGTTTGTTTAAAAATACACATACACTTTGAAGAAAACAATATATAGTATCTTCACCATTTTCTGAGAGGATATATCCTAATTTCCCGATTTTAAGTCCTCTCTCATCTTTCGATGAATTAATCGATGAGAATGGTAGCTTCATACAGATGTCAAAACCTGCTTCATGAATAGGGAAACTTTATATCCTCCTTGGTAATGGAAGCAATGCTTTAACCAACTTATTTATTTATTATATTATTATTGGGAGGATGAATGGTATGAATCGTTCCAAATTATAATAAATTATTTAATATAATTTAGGTATAGCTCATAATATTAATATTAATTTTTTAACAAATATTAGTCCTTATTATGAAATAATGGCTTTAAGTTCTGTCAAATCCATCACTTAGAATGAAAATTTCATATCCTTTCAATTTCAAATGAAGTCACTTCAATGGAGGAAAAGAACAGTCCAAAGCTGCCTCACATATACTGATGAGAATGAGAAGGTATGGGTTTTTTTTTTCTTTTTTTTTTTTATATTTATCCCAATAGATAATATATATAGTATTATTGATTGATGAATGGGAGTTTTATTATGGCTGAAACTGTAGTCATGATTTTGAAAAGAAAGAAATGGAGTTGGATGATGACATGCATATGCGTAAAGCCCTCTTCACCGCTTGCTCTTTAATTTTCAAATCCTTTTAATTTGACAATTATCCTAACAAAGGCTGGTAATGCACAAGCTCTAACAGCTGAAATTTTAGCTTTATGTTTTGGTCTTTCATAAATATATATAAAAATTAATTTTGGTGGAATTTTTCTAGTTTTGTTGGTGGAGTCATTATTATTGTATTAGAAAATTGGAGGTCTTAATGGTAATGATGAGAGGATTTGGATTCCTCTTTTATTTTTTATTTTTTAATTTCATTCCTATGATCTTTTCAATCATTCTTAAAGCCTCATTCAAATCAAAGGCAAGCACTTTTTTGTTTGGAAAATTAAGGCTATCTAGTTATTGAAACAAATATTGATTTGTGAAGATCGTGTCAAATCTAGTTCAAGGTTTTTGTTGAAATTTTAAGATAACCATGGTTACAGCTTCCACTGCGCCGTGGGACCAATTGCCATTTGGGTCGGTCGTATCAACAACCACTACGATTATGCTCTCTACATATTTGTTTTGCGTGTTGGCCACCACTTTTAATTTTAATTACTTTCAGATTGTCTTTGGCATAGTTAGTAATATCTTATATAATAATAATAAATATATAAAAATCAAAGTATTTTTTTTTCAAAAAAATCACTTTCTAAGGATAAAGTAAGAGGTTGTAAGAGTTGAATCCAGTCCACTAAAAATTAAAATCAAAGTTTATGACAAAAAATAAAAAATATCCAATACAAATGATTTATTATTTTGACACATATACAATCTTAAATAAATGTTTTATCTTGCATTTAGTTATAACAATTCGTGACAGAATGGTATAATATGAAAATAATATAAAAATATATATAAATATGATATAATTTAAAATTTTTAAAAAATAATCATATAAAATTTAACAAAAATAAAAAAAATATTTTATTTTTTTCATATGAACACTGATTATTAAATACAATTCTTGACTTTTTGTGTAATATAAGATACAAGTAAGCAAATTGTTATATCTAAATGCAATACATTTTATATTTAATAAAAAATTTACTCTACATAACTTAATTACATTTATTGTCCATTAAATATTCAATTTTTTTACTTTATATGAATAAGTTGCAACTCACAACTAATTTAGTCATTAATGAAAAAAAAATTTCTTGGAAAAACAAAAAATTAAATAGGAAGCTAAATAATCATGAATATTTTGCCATATATATTATAATCAGGCACCGGAATATATATTTTTTAAGACACCCCCTAATATGCTAACCAAATATACTGTTTAATTCATAATCGGACCATAGCTGAGCCTTCAAACAGAAAAAGATTTAAGATATGCTTTGCATATTGCATGTTCGTAGCTAAAATGGTTGAGAAATCATCATCTTATTCTATCATTCTCAGTAGCTAATCGAAGGTCTCCAAGCAATTCTATTTTATACATACAGCATTTGAATCTCCAGGTTTATACTGTCCACTCTGTGCTTCACTCATTTGAAACCAGGATTCACCAGGAACCAAAAAAAAAAAAAAAAACAATATGCATGTCTGATAACATAGAAAGAACACACATGTACGCAACCAAAAACTCAAAATTAATTGCTAAAATTAGTATAATTTTTTTTTCTTGATTTCGGAATGGAAGAATTCGAACACAACTCTTTGAGCAGAGGGAGACACATGGACCGACCACTAAGTCAAATACTAAGGTACAAAATATATTACCATTTAGAATAACCATAACAGCAGCATTCATACAAATAAATTAATAAATTAATATATATATATATATATATATATTATGCTGTAAACGAGCTTAAAAATTTTTGAAGAACCTATATCTACTAGTGTGAAAGGCAGATAATGAAGAACCTAGACTAATGAGATCAACCTCTGACTTCATCATTCGTCTATAGGCAAATATTAAATAGAGATAATCTACTCCAAGAGCACAGCTCAAAAAGATTTACACGAATAAAGCTAACTCCTCCATCTATATATGATGTACCAAGAATGGTCATATCTGTTATTTTCAAATATGATTTATATTAAACAAAGAATAATCTTTAACTGACTCAGAACTGTTTCATTGCCAATTTGCAACGTTTAAAAAGACTTCCGTTCCCAATTTGCTATGAATAATTTACCTTAAAAAAGCATCATTTCTGCTATCTTTGCAAAGGTTTCCGAGAATATTGTGTGGTTCTAGTAGATTTATGTTCAGACACTGGGCCTTCAGATACCTCTAATTGAGTTGGCAAGAGGTTGAGAAAGCTTCCCATTGTTGGGGGATCGGGAGGTCCTGGAGTGTCTGCAAAATGGGAACAACACAAGCAGGCAGGCAAGCATTCACAAAGACAGTCCAAAAGAGAAACAACTACAAGTAGTAAACAGTAAAAGTGAAAACAATTACCAAACAGTGACTTCACCGAAGGTCTCTTAGGTGCATTGCTTTTCTTCTTCAACTCAGCTGCAATCATACACGTAACTGTCAAAGGTTTCCAAGGCGGAAAAGATGGTACTAAAACATGGCATCTAAAAGAAGGTCGTAGCAACTGCTCTCTGCAATTTTTTTTTTTTTTTGCAAACTTGTTACTACTATGATATTGCTACTATCATTGCTAGTAACAGTACTACTACAACTGCCAACGCAAAAATTAACAGTAACAGTAATTAGTTTTTCATTGGAACAAAAAGGAGTAATAAGTTTCAATGACCCAAAAAGATTGTAATAATGTTTTTTTTTTTCCTTGCATCTTAATACTATTAGCACTGCTTTATCATCATCATAATACTATTATTATAGTTTGATTTGTTTTGCCTTATTCAAACATGCCTTGTAGTGAAAACATAAAGACATTACACATATAAGAAAAGCACTTTACATAGCATATAAGTCTCTAAGATACAGTATATAATACAATCTATCAGTCAATAAATACTGATCTTCCAAATCGCACATGCAAAAAGTAAATGAAAAGAAAAAAAAATCCGGAAAAACAAATAGTATATGCCACATAGAATAATTGTATTTATATTAAACCTATTAACAATTCTGAATCCTTAGCTTAGTATAGTTTTGAATCATATCAAGCAGTGGAATAAAAAAAAGAGTCAATTTTCTTGTACGGCACAATTGCACTGAAAGAGAAATATCAGGTACATGCATGTTAACTAAAGCAAGACAACCATAATATAGTTCTTATAGGGTGAGTTTGATAAGAAAGATGACAGAGACGATAGATAAAAATTATAACATATAATATTTGGTATTTTCTTGAAAAGAGGATCTGATGGGAATTGGATTACTTATTCTTTTAGAAGAAAATGGATCGCATTTCTGAATCCTATGGGATGGATACCCAATCAATAAAAATTATTTCAACATTTCCTATTTTTCCTTCAAAAGTTGCATTTTCCTTCAAATTTATTTAGCATGTGACGTATGGGGAGGGATAAATTTTGATCAATGACATGTCATCTTATCATACATTTAACATATTTATATCAGATAATGGCATTGATTAAGAAGTTATCCTATCTTGCTTTTAATCTTCTACACCAAACATAAAATAAGATCACCTACTCCCATTCAAACTTTTATCATATCCTATCCTGTATGTACCAAATGCATGAGGAGTATGATATGTATCTAAAAAATGTGAGCGATGATAAACATAGCAACAAATTTCTTAATGCAAAACTATTTCAAGAAATTCATGATAAGGGCATTAAGGCATTTTGGTCATAAATAGCCTCAATTTGGTCATATGCTTACCACTTGTCAGGAGTTTTCATTCACCTCAACATCTTTTCAGTAAAGAACTACTCATAATTGTACTCTAAATGCAAGGACATAGTAGCATACATACCTTTGACATTGTGAAAAATATCAAAACATGTACATAAGTGAAATCAAAATTAAGTCCGAAGTAAAACTAGTCAACAGGGAGATTGATGCAAAAAATTAAGTAACCTTTCTCCAGGGACCTGATTTTCTTGATGTTTGTACTTGAGCCCCCAACTATACATGCAAAAAATAAATGAACATATTGCTATAAGAAATGGGCAGAAATGGAAAACGAAGGAAACCACAAAAGCAATTAAAGCAAGGTTAAAGGACTACTAAGGCATGCATCAAGCCAAAAACCATCAGCATTCTAGCAATTGATTACAAACACACAAGTCATGCATATCTGACAAAGCTTCACACACCTTCAGCGAGAAATAATATGACAAATTTACAACAATTTAAAGGTAATATTGCTCCATACCATCCAATTTTTTGTTTTTCTGTCCTCCATTAAGTTAATAAAAGAATGACAATGAGTATTCTTAAGAGCGCATGAGGATGCTATCCTCCAACAACTTTCCAAGCTGGAGGACAGATCATTGCCACCAGAAGAAAAATCCCAGTAACCCGATGACAAAATACATCAGAAAACATGCACACAAGATCATGAATTTAAGCACTTATATTTATTGCTTTAAAAAAAGGTTAAAGCAAGCAGCTAATCTCAAAACATATATTTGACTTTACCATGTCCTCCAACTCAACTCAATAGTATTAAATTGAAAATGAAAAAAACTAAAAATAAAAACATAGCATATGAAGTGCATTTAGAAAGAAAAGGAATATTGACCAATCAAATTAGAAAATGATTTGACAATAGACATTTTAGCCATATCCCACATCAGTTTGATCTGAAGCTATTGTTATGACTGTATATTCAAGTTGGCTGTTGAGTCTCTTCAACTATAGCCAAAGGGTTTTAGGAGATGTTATATTCCACATGATCTTTAGTTTAGAGTTTCTAATCTTAGTTTATCACCTATAACGTCTAGGTTGCATACTTTTAACGTTAAATACAATCAAAATTGCTTCTTTCAGAATCAAATCCATTAAGAAACAAAACATGTGATCTCAAAATTGACAAGTCGTGATGTCTAGAAAATTCAAAAACAAGAAACTACACTAAAAATTCCTCTCTAGGCATCAAAATGTTGATCATTGTTCATAAATGACAGCCATTGTTGCTTTAAAGAAATTATCAAACAGCAAGACCTTCAATGGCTTCATGCATTCAGATTCGTGATGCAGAAAGACTTCATCATTGAGGAGCCCCAAAAACATGAACTTCTAAAGCCTAAAAATAATAGTTATAATTTATAAATTCATGGAAAGAAAATTTATACGTTTCAAATTGCAAAGGTAGTAACATTCTAATGACAAAAATTGTTTGGTCAAAGATTTGATATCACACACTAGTTGAACTCTGATCACATGCACCATTCTTCACTTTTATGCCTCTAATTTCAATCACAAAGCATTGTACACAACATAGAATATAGGCTCAATGCTCAAACATTTGTAAATCTTTCAGTCGGTAATAAATCATAGTATTTGATCAACAAAGCAGCTCAACTTACCAATTTTGATTAATTAAAAAAGATTTAAGAAATATAAGTTTCCAGTCAATATCACCAATGGCAGCCACACGGTAGAGTTATCCATGTGACATATTTACAAGACTTAAAGTTGGCATGTGGAAACTAAGCCAGATTTTGTTTTTCCTTTGCTTTTCTTTCATTCATTTTCTATTTTCTCTTCCACCAATGGTTGTCGGTCCTTGGAATATGATGCCAGTCATGGCTTTCTGGCACTAAATGAATAAAGTCAATTATGTATTGGAGGGGCCCTGATTCAGCCCAGCAGCACCAGGCAGAAATAGAAGGGGCCAAATCCCACCCCATAGCACCAGGCTGAAAATATCTGGGGCTAGATATGGACCCAGGTATCAAACCAGCAACAATTGGATCAGTTACTGTGCCAAGAGGTGCTGGTTGAGAGGCTATAGTGCGCCACATGGCAGTGGCAGGTGCCAAATCTGGCCTTGTCATACCAGACTGAAGCTAGCAGAGGCTAAACCTAGCCCTACCTCACCAATAAGGCAGTACTAGCCTCCCTCACATAAACATCACCAATGTCCATCCCGGAATACTGTCTGAGGAATGGAAAGGGAAAGAAAAAAAATAAAGGAAAACAGTTTGAAAAAAAAAAAAAACTAAGCCGCCACATATCAAAATCTCACCATGTATGTATGACACGTGAGTAATCTTTTGTTAGGTGACAACAGTTAGATAAACAACACATTCAAATGTTAGCAATTTTCCTTAAATAATCAAAATGAATAAGTTGATATAATAAATTGATCATAATAAAATGTTGGATCCTTGATTGAAAATTTTGACAAACTTTAAATCCTAATTTGAGTACCCAAATGAGAAAAACATTATATGCATAGACATCAGGCTATAATTCTCAACATGAAGCAAAATTTCTTAATAAAAACAAGATTCATGAAATTAGTTTGGCAGTCCAATTCAAGTATGAATCAAAACTAGGAATTTCTAGCTTGATAGCATCCAATATTGAAATATGTAGAAAGATAAATAAAATTTCAAGAGCACGAGGAGATGTGAAAAATTAAACTACTGAAAACCTTTAACAGAATACAATTACGACATAACCAAAGTATTTTCCTGCTACACTTGGTCAGCTGCATGGATTGAATTATACTACAGTAACCTAGAGCGAGAGACCTCTACAACTAACCTCTTCAAACTTCTCAAAGTTCTGTGTATCAAGGTCACTGTTAACCTCTGGTATAAAAGCAGCTTCCATGTGATATAACCTGTCCCATTCAATGTCTTTGAACCATGGGCGTGCCTGTTATGATGAACTCTAGAGTCAGCGATATGATAATAAAACATATATCAGCTCTGCTTTCAATAATAAAAGGTGAAAGATCAATCAATCATTCTGACCTTTATTTCATGAGCTCCTTTAGTTCCAAGCCTCTGCTCAACATTGCAAAGGAGTTTTTTAATGAGATCTTTAGCTTCAGCAGATAACTTGGCTTCTTCAGGGAATTTCAAATGGGTTCTCCAGTTTACAATCTGCATTGATAAACTGACCCTATGTATAATGCATATGATATGTAAAGATCAAACACTAGTTTTGAACTGTTGAAACATGTATACAAACAATTATAAGTAGCAGAAGATGAAGATGATATTTATTTGTTCATCATTGTTAATCAAAATTGTAAAACCGCTGATACAGGTTAACCATCAAATTGACTGGGGAATTTTAAACACATTTAAGATATACAGAAAATAAAAAACTAGATCACTAGATTGAGAACCTAGTTTTGAGTAGTCAATGTTATTGATGCAAAAGGCAAGTTTAGTGAAGAAATTCATGAGAATTTTATTTATAAATTCTTAAGAAACTTTCTAGAGTATAAGAGTATATATATAGCTAAAACATCAAATCTAGCAAATTCCATGATATCCTAAAGATAATAACAAATCACCTAAAAATCCTCTAACAATAAATGGAAACTACCAAGTAGGAATTTGATTAATGAACCAAATCCCTTTTATTTAGGAAACAACCAAAATACTAAATGAATGACACCTAATAAAATCTGGTTAGGAATCAATTTTCCACACTCCCCCTCAAGTTGGATGGTAGATATCAATCATACCCAACTTGGACTTCAAATTCTCAAAATTGTCGCGATGAAGATCCTTGGTAAGGATGTCGGCTATTTGATGTTCCGTTTGAGTGTAAACCAATTTGACTACGCAATCTTCTCTTTGATGAAGTGGCGATCAATCTCTACATGTTTCGTTCGATCATGATGAACAGGGTTCTCGACAATGTTAATAGCTGCTTTATTTTCACAAAACAATTTCATTGAATTCCTAGCTGACTTCTTCAGTTCTTGTAGCATTCTCTCAAGCCAAATTTCTTCACAAGTCCTGTGAGACATAGCCCTAAATTCAGCTTCAGCAATACTTCAAGCTACCACTGCTTGTTTCTTGCTCATCAAGTGACCAAGTTGCCCCACACATATGTACAATACCCTGTAGTTGACCTTCGATCTATCATAGAGCCAACGCAATCTACATCTGAAAAAATCTACACATTTCTATTTGGTGTTTTTCTAAAGTGCAACCCTTTGTCTGGATTTTTTTTTCAAATATTGAAGGATTGGATGTATTGCCTCCATGTGTGTCTTTGTAGGATTGTTGATAAATCTGTTCACCATACTTACAAAAAAGCCAATGTCAGGTCTAGTGTGCACCAAATAAATTAATTTTCCCACAAGTCTCTAGTATCTGTTTTGGTTTGCAAAAAGACTTCCATCTCTGGTTCTCATCTTGACTGGGTCCATCGAAGTATCCATTGGTTTACACTTGAGCATCCTTGTCTCTTTGAGAAGAGCAAGTACATATTTTCATTGTAAAACAAAAATACCATTTCTTGATCGAGCTACTTCCATGCCAAGAAAATATCAAAGCTGTCCCAAGTCCTTTATTTCAAACTCTTTAGCTAGAAGAGTCTTCAATCCAACTATTTCCTATTCATAATCTCTTATGAGGATAATATCGTCAACATAAACAATTATAAAAGCAATCTTGCCATTTGGTAAATGTTTGATAAACATAGTGTGGTCGAATTGTCATTGTAAGAACCCATTCTTTCTAACAGACTTAGTTATACAATCAAACCGGGCACGAGGAGATTGTTTGAGGCCATATAAGGATTTCGAAAGCTTACACACTTGTCGATGTTATCCTGGTTGTCAAACACTTGAGGAATCTTTATGTAGACCTCTTCCACTAGATCACCATTTAGAAATGCATTTTTGATATCGAGTTGGTGAAAAGGCCAATCTAGGTTTGCAGCAAGTGATAATAACACACAAAAAGAATTCAGCTTTGCTACAGGAGCAAACGTCTTCTCATAATTGATCCCATAAGACTGAGTGAATCCTTTAGCCACAAGCTTTGAATCTATTCACACTTCCTTCTGTATTGTGTTTGATAGTAAAAATTCACTTACATCTCACTGGGCTCTTTTCTCCAGGAAGATCAGTAATTTTTCATGTGCCATTCTTTTCTAGTGCTTGCATTTCTTCCATTACCACAACCTTCCACTTTAGTTGTTCGAGCACTTCTTGGATGGTATTCGGCATATGATCATCCATTAATGATGTAACTAGTGCTCGATAAGTAGGAAACAACCCTTCATAGGAAACAAAGTTACTAATAAGATGTTGAGTACATGATGTTACACCTTTTCTTATAGCAATAGGTTGATCAACATCACTGGGAAAATTATCAGAGATAAGTTTAGTAATTGTGTTACCTGTATGAATTTCAAAAGTCCCTGGATTTGATTTAGAATCTTTGTTCTGTGTTGGAGATGTACAGGTCCCTATCTCCTTTTGAGATTTCGGTCTCCTTAATTATACAATCATTTTCTTAGCTTTTGTCTCTTGCACGGTTTCAGGAGATTTTGGAGATTCAAGATGACTAGTTGACTTGGAAGAAGAAGAAGAATTATTTGAAATGAGAATTTGAGTTGGCAGACAAGTAGAGGAAGGATTAGATGATGGCTCAATCTCCCAAAGTTGATATTCCCTAGAACTCTCCTCCTGAATATGGTTTTGGGATAGAATGGCTAATTCTCAAAGAAGGTGACATCCATAGAAGTGCAAAACTTTTTGGTAGTTGGTGAATAACATCTGTAGCCTTTTTGGTTAGGTGAATAGCTAAAAAATATACACCTGAGTAATCTAGGGTCTAGTTTACTTTGTGGTTGTTGGTGTATATGAACAAAGGTAATACATCTGAACACTTTGACAGGTATGGAAGAAATGATTTGAACATGAGGGTAGGTTTTGAAAAGTGTTTGACAAGGGGTTTGGAATTTTAATACTCAAAAAGGCATCCTATTGATAAGAAAGGTTGTTGTCAGGATTACCTCTCCCAAAAAATGTTTTAGGACATGAGGCTAGCATAATAGATCTTACAACTTCCATCAGGTGTTTGTTCTTCCAGTCGACAACTCCATTTTGTTGAAGAATTTCAGTAAATGAGCTCTGGTGAATAATTCCTTGATCTAACAAGTAAGATTCAAGAATTGAATGATAGTTTTCTTGCCCATTATCTATTTTGAGTTTGCAACATCTAGTTAACATTTTGAAATAATGAATTAACCTCTGACTCATTTTCATGAAGAACAGCCATGTAACTCTGGTGTAATCATCAAAGAAGGTAACAAACCATCTAGAGCCTGTAATATTATTAACCTTTAATGGTCCTCAAACTTCACTATGGATCATAAAAAAAGAATGAGCTGATTGGTATGGTTGACTTGGATATGAATTGCGAGTGTGTTTGGAAAATTGACAAATTTCACATTAATAAGACTCGAAACCTTTATTGAATAAATCAGGGAATAATTTTTTAAGGTGCAAAAAATTTGGATGTCCTAGACGATAGTGCCATAACATGATTGTATTTTCTTTACCACTTACTAGAAGATGAAACTGAACAAGCACTCTTCCATGATTGTCTCTTAGATTCTTCATCTCTAAGGAGATAGAGTCCAGCACACATCTTAGCATTGCCAATCTTCTTTCCTGAATCCAAGCCTTGAAATTCACATATGTTAGAAAGAAATTTAGTAACACAATTAAGATCTCTCGTAATTTTACTAATAGACAAAAGGTTACAATCTAAATTAGGGACATGAAGAACAGAGTCAAGTGTTATGTCCTTTGAAATAATGACTGAACCCGTCATGGCTACCCAGGAGAGTGACCATTTGTTATTCGAATTGTGAGGTTTTTAGAACATTGGTTGTATTCATAGAACACTGATGCATTACCAGTCATGTGGTAATTCACACATGTTAAAAAGAAATTCACACTTGTTAGAAAGAAATTCACACATGTTAGAAATAAATTTAGTAACACAATTAAGATTTCTCATAATTTTACTAATAGTCAAAAGGTTGCAATCTAAATTAGGGACATGAAGAACAAAGTCAAGTGTTATGTCATTTGAAATAATGACTGAACCCGTCGTGGCTACCCAGGAGAGTGACCATTTGCTATTCGAACTGTGAGGTTTTTAGAACATGGGTTGTATTCATAGAACACTAATGCATTACCAGTCATCTGGTCTGATGCGTCTGAATTAATAATCCAAGATCTTGATTTTCCAATTTGCACAAGTAGAGCATTAAGAGAGTTACCTTTTTGTGCAATAGACGCTGTGCTTACAACTGACCCAGTGTTATGAAAAGATTACTAAATAATTTTTTGAAAGAATTCCAACTGCTCTTTACTAAACGAGCTTAATTTCGAGGGTGTTCAAGTTGTCTCGGTGGTGGTAGAATTTCCATAACCCTTTTGATTTTGAGTAGAATGTAGTTTGTAGTCAGTAGGTTTCCTATGGATTTGCCAACAATATTCTCGTGTGTGTCCTGCCTTCTAACAGTAGTCACACCAAAGTCTGTTACCTTTCTTCTGTTGATTTTCACCACCTTGGTAGGATTTTGATCCTCGGACAACAAGAGCTGAATTTTTTTCTCTTGTGGATTGCATGATGTCCTTAACATTACTTTCCTTCTACTATCTTATGGGTGGACCTCAGAGAAAACTTCTGGATGCTAGGTAATGTCTTGATGATAAAAATTCTCCTAGGAACATCATCAAGGCTATTATATAGACCAAGTAGAAACTTATAAACTCGATCCTTCTCTACTATTTTCCTATATTGTTGGCTATCATTAGGGCACTTTCATGCTATTTCTTCAAAGATATCTAATTGCTGCCAAAACGAGTCAAGGAATTAAAATATTTCGTGATAGAGGAGTCTTCTTGCGCCAGATCATGTAGAGTGCTTTTGATTTCGAATATTGCAGACATATTGTCTACGTTGGAGTAGGTTTCTTTTGCAATTTTGTAGTACATGAAATTCTCACCAATCTCGTTGGTCATAGAATTGATCAACCATGACATTACCATCCTATTTTCCAACTTCTAGGTTCGATACTTTGGGTCATTCTCGCTGGGTGAAACAACCATTCTTGTAAGATAAATTTCCTCACATTTTCTATAGACAAACAACATCATTGATTGAGACCATTGGATGAAGTTTTGTCCGTTGAGTTTGTGACCAGTGATAGGCAAAATAGGGAGCTTGAACATACCCGTGCTGCTGGCCATGGCATAGATAGAAAGATAAAAAGAAAAAAAATATATAGATGGTTCAAGATGAATGCTCTGATACCATGAAGAAATTCATGAGAATTTTATTTATGAATTCTTAACAAACTATCTAGAGTACAATAATATCTATATAACTAAAACATCAAATCTGACAAATCCCATGATATCCTAAAGATAATAACAAATCACCTAAAAATCCTTTAATAATAAATGGAAACTACGAAATAGGAATTTGATCAATGAACCAAATCTCTTTTATTTAGGAAACAACCAAAATACTAAGTGAATGACACCTAATCAAATTAGGTTAGAAATTGATTTTCCACATTTAGTAATCTTGTATTTCTCAAAGGATTAAAAAAATCTAGGGCATACAGAATCAACTCGAAATGCTGACAGCAGTTTCCAGTAACCACAGGATATTTAGGCCCTTTACATGTTTCAAGTGTTAGTTCTAGCAAACAATTCCATTAATAACCATTTCTTGTGCACAGACCAGCTTTCGTCCATTGTTGCCTAGAGCGTGTCAACTTTCTCCTAAAGACACAAGGACATAGATTTTCATTCTGTCAACAATTAAGGTGTTGATGCATCTTATCATCACCATCATCAGAAAGAATATGTTCCTTTGGATTTGAACACTTTGCTCTAAAGACAATATTCAAGTCCATAAAGAAAGTAAAGAAGGTTAATACATGTTCAATCAACTTCACTTTTTAATTTGCAAACAGATTAATCGTGCTTAGATATGCAGTTATATCTCCAAAACCGAGATTATAATCCTATATCACCAAGAACAGGATCATAGTGGCAGATTCAATGATTGAGTCAATCATCCAAGTGTTTCTACTAACTCTAATTTCATTTCTGGACACAACACTAAATTAACCTTACAAGTACAAGGAACTAAAAAAAACCAAGATATTATAACGTAATAAACCTATCCAAGAGGGAAAAAGAAGGGTGGTGGAGAGAGCGAGAGTGAGAAAAAGGTTCAAATGGCCTCCAAGAACTAGATGGGCATGATCCATCAACCGTGTCTAATGCAATTTCAAGGAAATCTTCCTGACTAAAGTTCTTAGCTAAGCAATCATAAACATGGAGACAAGTTTTCCAAAATAAATTTAGGATCATAAAAATTAGCAAATTTTCAGTGCAGTAAGATAAGGTTTCTTTGTTCATTCAAGAGTTAAAAGCCTAATCTTTTGACAATTGGAGTTATTTAAGTTTAGAACGATTTATGATAGAATGCGTCTTGCTTATCTTGACAAAATGGGTGGGATGGCTATCTAAAAATGTTACAGACCTTGAGAAGAGAGTAGATCATCTGTGATTAAGTTTGAAAGAAGCATCTCTGAGTGCACTATGTCAAACTGCTATCGATAAATTTCAATGAAATGATATAAATCTGCTATCTATTCTTTTTCCTAATGAATAGCTGAGGCTTGGCCGGTCTTTAAATTAAGGTTTGAATCACCTTTCTTTCTGCAGAGTTCCCCATATGTAGCAAATGAAAAAAAAAAATCTGAATAAGCTATGTCTAGAGAAACAATACTAAGGGATTACTATGTTATTTGTTCGTCATATTCCTTTAAGTTTGAAAGCATTAATGCCAGAACATGAATATTATGATTCTTCCTTTTCAGCATGGTTCAAATTATTGGACTGATCTTACAGTTCATATATCAGAAGTGCAGAACCATTTAGCTTCTCGGTCCTTTCCAGGTGGTCTCGTTAACAGCATCTTAATGTTGTCAAGATCATAAGCAGTAGAGGTTTAGAACAAATATTTAGTAAACCAACAGGCAAGAATATTTCCATTGTTCTTTGGTGCCTCTGAATGCAGAACGCAGCAAAATTATATGCAATGATGCATTCATTATGCCCAAGTCACTCCATATATTTGCTAACTTCTGGAATCATCGAACTTGTTTAACAAGCAGTACTTTTACTTGCCCACCATGTTCATTATCAAACAGATAGGTAATAGTTGAATCTTAAAAAACTTCTGATTGTCATTTGTAACAAAAACTTCATAATATGCATATCTAACCATACAGAATATTAAAGTCGACAACTTCACTTGCCTTTCTACATGTCGACAAAGCTTCTTCAGAATAAAAAGGTGGGTATCCTACAAGCATCTCAAACATAATTGCCCCAAGCGACCACCTAAGGAAGAACCTTTTAGAATATAAGCTTAGAGAATATTAAGAAAATGTAATAGGTAAGACAACTGACTAACCAATCACACTCCATCCCATATCCTCTCTTCAACAGCACTTCTGGGGCAATGTAGTCAGGAGTACCAACTGTCGAATAAGCCTATATGGAAAATTGCAAAACCAAAACAAAAAGGAAGTTAAAACATGAAAAGTACCTCAAAAAGATGAATAAGGTAAGAAAAATGGAATATAGACCTTTAATTTTTAGGAAAAAAATTTAATCAATGAAGCATATTAAGCATTTTTTTTTTTTTTCAGTTTCAGTAAAAAGGAAATACAATTCAGCTTTTTCCAGAAGACAAGTTTTGTAAATCTATTGAAGAAAAGTATGCCTGAAAGCTGTAAAAAAAAAAAAAAATACAAAGCATTCACATGCAACAGAAATAATTTTATTTGTGCTAGTTTTCTCTCACTTCATGGGTCACACTTAAATGCAAGAACCAGGATTTGTATCAATTATGATGTCTGCAGAATAGATAGAACCAAAACATATTGCCATGTTCTAATTATCTTATGCATGGGATTCTATTTGCTATTCAGTAAGCAAAATAGAGAGAGAGAGGAAACTTCAGAATCGATATTGGATAGAAACAAACAAAAGGGCATCTTTACTGCAGAGGGTCTTTGGACCCCTGAGGAGCATGGTTCCAACTCATGGAAATTACTAGCACACTTTTTAGTGGTTATAGGGGGCAAGAAACAGAGGTCAAATTCAGGCACATTTAAGATTTTCCTTTTGCCAATGAGCACATTTTGCTAGCTTAAGATGCCAATGACAGATTGCAAAAGCAGGAAATACAAGTCCTGCACCTCTGTCTTTCAATATAAAAACACGGAACAAACACAAACCAGTGCCCAATCTTAGCAATGAATCAAAGCTTCTTTACAACCTATAGACACCACTTGTGGATGTAGAAAGCATACCAATGTTCGCCAATTCTTTTGCCAATGTAACAACTGCTCCCGTTGTGTCCACTTTGGTGTAGAAGGAAGATTAGAATGTTTACCACTGTCCATTGAGGGTTTAAAGTTTCTTCCCCCTACATGGTCATCCTCTCTAAGGTCTGGAAAGCTACTACTATCAAGGGGTTTACACAATCCAAAATCCGAGAGCTTCATATGACCGTTATGGTCAAGCAATAAATTATCAGGCTTGATATCCCTACAAAGAAAGGATAGAATATAAAGATGTTATAAAATACAGATCTTTTCTTTCCTTGTTCTTTCTCTTTGTGTCTCCTGCGGGAGTGGAGGGAAGACATGAAGAATATTCATTCCTTAAATACCTAATTATCAGGCTTGAAGATTCGTATAGTATAACACGAAAATGCAAAAATTGGTCCACAGAGCAGTAAACTACCCATTTTCCATATGGTATAAATATTTTGTAAGAGGAAACTAACACCGAGCAAAATTCCACACATGAACCATAGGAGAATTGTACATTGCCTAACCCACAAATGAAACAGATCCCATGGGAAAAAGGTCAAGAAAAGAAAACCTGTGGACGTAGTTGTGTTTATGGATGGATTCAATTGCAAGAACTGTCTGACCAACATAAAACCTTGCCTCATCCTCAGTTAAGGTATCCTTCCGCATCAGTAATGTCATCATGTCACCCCCAGGGAGATATTCCATTACAAGATACAAAAATTCATCATCTTGAAACGAGCAATAAAGCCTGACAATGCACTCACTGTCAACTTCAGTAAGGAGATTCCTTTCTGCTTTAACATGCTCGACCTGGACAGGGAGAAGAAGTAAAAATGTTAAGAGAAAGAATAATCCAGGAGAAAGTGCCTTTATACTTCAAAGCAACATTTAACTGAATCTCCAATTTTTCATATGCAATTTTATATTCCTTCTCTTCTCAATAACCCTGTTTTGGACTCCTTTAAATGTATATATTACAGCAAGTTCCCAGATCAAAATGAAGAAGGCTGGATAAAGTATGCAGCAAATTTTCCTATCTTAGTAAAAACTTTTATCAGGTTTCAGGGCACATTCATTCTTGGAAAGGTAGATTACTGAGTTAATTATTTCTTATTACCAATCCAGCAAGTTTAATATATTAACAGTGTGATTCGGAGTTGAAAGGGAAAAGAGGCTATAGTAAGTTGAACAAAGTAGAATATAGTAGAGCAAAACGGGAATATTTGACCCTCATCTTGTTAGGAAAATGAAAGCATAAAACATTACCATAGATTCTGTACTATTACCCCTATATCCCACTTTGAAATCATTACTAAAATAAAAATATTGAAAAGTACAGGGAAGATCACAAGCTGAAATCAGTGAAGTAAAATACTCTTCTTTGATCCTTCAAATTTGACAGACTTTAAAAAGTGAATTTGAGAAGATCTGGTGGTATTTGGTTTCTACCCTCTACTAATAGAACTCTCAAAAAGAGTAAATTAAAACCTTTTAATCCCTTCAGTCTACTGCTCTCCTTCCAAGGAAATATAAAGGAATCAGGAAAAACATTATAAACAAAGAGTACCTGGCCCCTGCGAAGCATCTCAGATTTCTGGAGCTTTTTCATGGCATACACATTGCCAGTAGCCTTTTCTTTACAAAGTCTTACCTGCATGATGACAGCAGACATCTTCCATATTCAGAAATGAAAAAAAAAAAAAATGCAGTATCATGTACTTTGCTATTAAACAAGGAAGAGGAAGATGGTGGAGGCAAGGATGCTAGAGCTAGACAATATTTACCAACAGGTCGAGATGCATATTGGAGAAATTTGAATATCATATGGATTGCATTGTAAACAGTAAATAAATCACTAACTACTATAAGAAACAATATTACTGACAATAAAAGTAAAATACAAATAAAAAAAAAAACATCAAAATAAGTAGAGCAAGACCTTCCCAAATGCACCCCTCCCTATAATGGTCAGAAGTTTGAAGTCATCAACACCCATCTTGTGTCTTTGAAGGCGCATGTATTCTGTTTCCTTTTTCTCTAAAAATTTAAGCATATTCATTTGTTCTTCTGCAGTAACGTCAGCATCAGCAAGTTTCCTCTCTAACATCCAACGTCTATATTCCATATATATAATTGTTAGAAAAAATGAGAAGTTCAACAAAAATGATAAAACACCAAGAGAAATAATACTGATATGACACATTCCTATACCAGTACAAAACAATAAACAAATACAACCTAGTTTCAGTAATAAATAGAAAGATCATATTAAACAAATGAAACTCAAAAGGAGACTGAAACATCCTGCAAAATCCACAAGCTTAAAACCCTTTAAGAGGCATATGATATGAGATTTCTCCACCATAAATCCTTTGTTTCAAAACCTACAATCTCAAACATAGTGCAGATATCAAAGCACAAGATATCTTTTGCAAAAGTAATTCAAGTAATGCCATGAGCTACCTATATATTACCTCTCCTTTCTGTCTTGCAAATTCTTCATATGAGCTTTGTAGTGGTTTTCAATATACTGCTTGGCGGCGGCAACCTTCTGTTTCGTGGCGGTTGAAGGTGCCACTGCCCCATCAATGGGAGGCTTATGTGTATAGCACTTCACATTTTCCATTTCTCTCTTTTTCTTTGGTGAATTTTCTACTTTTTCGTTCTTCTGTTGGCATTTCTTAAACCAACTCCTTGCAGAATCCATTATCAACAATCCCCAATCACAACATCAAGTCTATCCAAAATAAAAAATTAAAAAATTATCGATAAAAATGAATTTTACAATTGAATTTATGTGCAAGCATTTTTCAGTTACAAAAAATATATATTCAGATCCATAAAACGATATATTGATTACTCCATTCAGTTCCCTTCTCATATTATGGAATCCTATCTCACAAATTCCAAAAAAGAATTTTGAAATTAAATAGGAAATCTTACCTCAGAAAATGAGAGAAGAATTAACGAAAACAGTCCTCTGTTTCACTTCAACTGACAAAACTAGAATGTATAAAATTCCATTAAAAAAAAAAAGAAAATTAAATACTTTTATTTAATTAATGGATTGAAATTACGTAATCTCCATTTATATTGAGCGCTAAATATGACTTAGGGGGACATTATTGTCAATCGGATCGTGCAGGTTACGATGACGTTGACGAGGAAGTTGACAATACTATTGAATGTAAGGAGACAAACAGTAAAAGTAAGAGGGGCATTAACGACACGTGGCAGTTGATAACAGCCCTTAGCCGGCTAACGTGAAAGCACGATTACAAGATTTGCCACGTCGGATTGGCATAAAAGGCGCGCAAATTGGACTCAACGCGTTTTTGAGTGCCATACGATCTTGAGCGTACACGTATGTTGAGATCGTTAAGAACCACGTCGATGTTGAGGTAGAACGTTGAACTGACATGTTGAACAATTACTACAGCCTAGAAATGGTATGGAAATTAGGAAAGCTTGAAAGAATACAAACAACATGTGTTAAGTCAAAGTTGTTTCTATTTTACAGTTTAAGTTACGCTAGATTGAAAATTTTGAGATTTAAAATTTAACTTAGTTCAATTAATTTTATTTTTTATAATATTACTTATGTAATTTAGTAAATTTTTGATAAGATATTTTGAGACAATGATCTTTCTTGTTGTGTTTGGATTGGTGTTCAAACATAATTAAAAAAAATACAATATAAATAAATGAAACATAAGTAAGAAGATTGCCAAAACCTTTTAGGATCATGCTTGTGATTTTCAAGTAAGAAAAAAATATAATTTAAACCATCATATTAAGAAACATACCAGCACTTAACAGATATCGTAACATTATGTGTAAATAACCCACTAATTCGTACAAAACCAAGAAAAAGAATGTCTAGACAATAGCCATCCAATTGTCTAGCTTCCAACGATATTCACGCAACAACAATTCGCTGAAACCTTCACAAAAGGATTTAGTAGGATAATAACAGTTCGATGCAAATCAGATTTGATTTAATTTTTTAAAATATGATATAATATTATGAAATTTTAAAATTTAATTTAAATTCGAATTAAATTTTTATTTGATCTGAATCGAATTAAACTAAATTTTATTGATTCAATTTAGTTTATCGATTTTTAATTTTTTAATTTTTATATATTATTTTAATATAAAATTTTAATATATTTAAGTAGATTTTGATATAAAATTAGTTTTTTTATTTTATAAATATTTAAAATATATATAAAACTAAGAAAAATAGATAATTTAATTCAATTCGATTTTTTTTATTTTCACTTCCAAATTCAAAATTCGATTCAAACATAATATATACGTTTAATATTCGAACTTGATCCAAATTGAATAAAAAAAATCGATCTGATCCGAACTGAACACTACAGTTTCAAATCGATTTTCGAATTTCTTAATTTTTTTTCTTACCCCTAGGATTCAATAACTTGTGCTAGCAAGCTTTTTTTCAAAAACAATAAGCCTTTTTATTATTTTCTCCTTGATCGAATATCATAAAAGAATGCTTCCTCTCTCACTTAGTGTGTGAGGCAAGGGATAAGAGAAAACACAAATTTATGGATGACAATGAGTTGGGTCGAAATGAATTTTTACTCGTTCCAAACTCAACCCGACTTTATACCCTTAATACTCGAATTTGATTCGACTCAACCCAATTTTTTTTATTTTTTAAATACCTAATTTGATCTGATGTTATATAAAAATGTATCAGATCTGAAATTAATAATATATTATTTTTATAATATAAAATATTATTTTTTAATATAAATATAAAATTATATAAAATATATAAATATAATATTAAATAATTAATTAAAAAATAATATTTATACAAAGTTAAGGGGAGACGGGTTTGTCAAAAACCCAACCCCAACTTGACCCTGACTTTTTTAACTATTACTTGACTCAAAATTCGATTTTTTTTTTTTTAAATTGAACTTATTAAATCAAGTTAAAACCCGTCGAGTTTAGATTGGGCTGCCATCTCTAAACATGATAGGTCCAAGGTAATTAGAGTGTACCACATACCTACTTAAGTAAAGATATTTACTACTTAAGTAAAGGTATTGTTTTCTGCTATTTTCTCTCGTTTTTTTCTTTCCTTGATCTTTTTCTTATTTTATTTTTTTAATTTTTATAATTATAAACAATATTTTTTTATAAAAAATCAATATTTTAAATATTTTGAAAATTTTATACCTTTTTAAAAGTAATTTTGAATTTTTATAAAAATTAATTTTTTTAATTTCTATTTTTTTATATTCAATAAATTTTTTTGATTTTCAATAATTTTTTTTATTTTTAATGTTTTAGATGTTTTATTTGCATTTAAAAAATTTTAGAGTTTTAAAATTTTGATTTTTAAAAATTAAAATTTTATTTTTTTCTTTTTTTAACTTCTTTTGAATTTTTAGATTTTAATTTTTTAGATTTTTAGTTACATTTATAAAATATTCTCGATTTCTAAAATTTTAATTTAGATTTTTTTTTGTATTTTAAAATTTTAAAAACTTTTTATTTTTTCAAAATTTATATTTTAAATTTTTAGATTTTAAAATTTTTGAAATGTTAGATTTTTTTAAAACTTTTAGATTTTTTTAATTTTTTGTGATTTTTTTTCTTTAAATACTGACATGACAATGAATTCATCAATGACGTGGCATTTTATTGCAATGTGCCATGAATTTATTCGTTATTCATGTTACATAAGCAACCAACTAACAACATGAGTCTCATTTGGCAAAAAAAAAAAAAGTAATGTTAATTTAAAGTATTAAACACATAATGGAATAAATGTTTATGTATTTAATTTTGAATTTATTTCTTTAAATACCTAACTAACAAAGAATGCATAGTATAGAGATCAAATGAATATTTAACACATTTATAATTAACTAGATTTTTTAACCCGTGTTATGCACGAAAAAATTTTATTATTTTCATAATTTAAAATTATTTTTTAATTAACTTTACTTTTTTATTTTTATAATAAAAAATGCATATTTTTATTTGTTAGCTTTATAGGTTAGATGGTGATCTAAGAGAGGGAGTGAATTGGATTTCTTCAAATTCTTTCCAAACAAATGATTTTAATATAGTTGAATGAAAATTAAAACAATAAGCAATTTTGATGAAAATATAATGCAAACAATAACAATTAATAAATCTAAAATCAAATATAAACAACAATAAATTATAAGAAGATAAGGATAGAGAAATCAAACACAATGATTTATAGAGGTTTGATCCTTCTCCACAAGGCACCTACATCTTCTCTTCTTGGTTGTCCACACCAAAGCTTCAATCCACTATTCTTGAATTGAAAATACAACCTATCTTTTTATTTTTAAGGCTTAAGATGGAAACCTCTATCCTTTGTAATATTTTACCCAATCTCACTATAAAGTCTCAAGAGGATACCTCACCTCTTGTTCTCTTCCACCCTTATATATTAAAGGTAATTTTGCAAACAATAGAACAACCTCTCTAAAGCTAAGTATTTGCTAAGTTTAAGTACAAGAAAATGATGAATGAACAACAAATAAAAATTGGATACAATAAATATGAAGATATGGACTTTGAAGCTCTAAAAACTCTTGATTCTTTAAGAAAATGAAAATGTGGCTTATTGGCTCTTGCTCTCTTGATTCATCAAACTTCTTGGTGTGTTTGAGTGCCCAATTTATAGAGAAATTGAAGAAGTAGCCGTTGGGGAAGCTTGGAGTGAAGAAATGCCCGTTGGAATAATGAAAAAATAATCGTTGGAGTGCCCAAGCCCAGAACCGATCGATCCCTTCCATGAGGGGATCGATTGGTTCATGTTTTGAACCAATTTACGTCTGAAAATCATGACCCGATTGATCCTTTCCATGAGGGGATCGGTTATGTCAATTGCTGGGTGGTTGTTTCCTATTTTGTACTCTACTAACTAATTTGACCATAACTTGAGTTATACAAATTCAAAATACAAATTGTTTGAAGATTTGGAAACTAGACTTAAAGGGCTTTCTATCCATATAAACTTTATCACCTAATTCACTGTGTACGAATTATAATGAATTTTTAAAGTTACACCTTATGCAATTTTTTTAATAACTGTAAAGTGTCTAGTAAAAATACAAATATTTTCTTAAAAAATTTGGATTTTGAATTTGTTTAATCCATTAGAAAGCAGACTCAAATAGATTTCCAACCATATAAAATTTAAATATTAAGACTTTGTGAATTAATACAAAAAAATAAAAAAAGTTCAATGTTGGAAAACTTTGTTCTTGTAAAACAACTTTCGTAAGTTAATATATTTCTCAAAACCAATATTATCAAAATTGTATTAAGCCCAAAATGAATAAGTTCACTTTAAAAACAACAATTGGACTTTCATTTAAGCTTACATAAATAATCTTTAAAGATAGATTTGGTTTGAGAAATATGACACCAAGAAAGGTTTGTTTAAACTTTGAAAATCATATTATTTATTTAGTACCAAAATATAAAACTTAAGAACATGTACTAAATAAATCCTTGTTCAAAATCTTGATCAAGTTTATTTAGCTTTAATGTTTTGTCATTTCAAAATAAGGATCAATTCAAGGCTAATAATCTCTTCCTTTTTGATATGACAAACCTAAAGGTAAATTTGCTTAATGAAGAACTTTCTTTGAAACATTTAAGATTTAGAAAGACATTTTGGAAAACTCCCCCTTAATTAATGCATGGAAAAACTCCCCTTCAATTTGTGCATCCTAATCCAATGGTAAAACTCCCCATCATTTTATGCATCCTAATCCAACACAACTTAACAAACATATGTTAAAGCATATATAACAATTAAGCACGCA